CGTTGCAGCGTTCTCGGGCCCGAAATTAAATACTGGCTTGGATTGGCGGTGGCAAGCGGGAAGCCGCACCCGGAAATTCTTCAAGCCACTCCAAGCCACAAAATAGACTGACGCTGATGTGTGCTTGATTGGAGTGATACGGTGGATGGCCATATTGCAAGTAAAGGAATTAGGGGTCCCTCGAAACTCGCGCGCCCCTTCTTCATGCTCCTGGCTTCGCTGGCAACCCTAGCGAATGGGCAATGCGCCCTCTTTGACCGGGGTGTCTTCACATTAGCCAGCCTTTCGGGGTCATTTGCCGGTGTGTCTTTTGCCCCCCCCCCCTCCTGTTGATGTCTTTTGGGATGACAACAGGAAGCAATTTGGGGGTTCCCCCTCATTTCTCTTTTTTTTTTGACCCCCTGGCTTCAGAGTGCGAAACGCTCCGCACCGGCCAGGAAAAGCCCTCCGAGGAGGGGTGCCGCAAGTTTGCCCATTGGGAGGCTCATTCTCAGACCTCGGGGCCTGGGCGCTTTGAGTGGCTGGGGCGATGGACAGCGCCTATAATGGGTTTTACATTGGCCCGAGGCCCAAAAGGTGGGGTCTATGTGAGGGCACTATTTGTTCTTTTCCTTTTTTCTTTTTGTTTGGAGGGGTGGGGGGCAGCGGGGGGGGGAAGAAGCATTGGGAGGCGGTTACTAACTGTAGCACATGGCGAGTGGCTCGCGAGCACATGTCTTTCAGTTAGTGCGTCCGCACGGGCAGGGAACTTGTGAGGATTCCTGCCGAGCACGTTGCACGCATGTGACTCAACTGGCTCCTTTGTGCACATGTGATCTAACTGGCTCTGGGCAAACATGGAACAATTCCAAAAGCCCCCCATGACCACGGCAGTTTCAAACATAAGGTTCCAAGGGTTCGCGTTTCGCACCATGTTGCCTGGGTCTCCCGGTAGTGCCCTTTTACCCGAATTTGGGGAGGGTTCCCCTACTAAAATAGACTACAGAAAAACGTGTACCCTTATTCTAACCTGTCTACTGGAGGACCTATGCTTTTCCAGAGTTTACCTGGCCGGCGCCGAGCGTAGGAGCAGCAAAAGGAGAACAAAGAGAAGGGCAGCAAGGAGGCCGTTCTTCCGGCGATCCGGGCAACATGGAATTGGGGGAGGTGGGAGATCTCGATTCTGATTTTAGACCTCAAATTTCCCCTTTTGGGTAGAATAGAAGGTGGAATTCAGGGACCCCCAAGTCAAGCTGGGGCAGGTTTCAGGTTTCTTGACTTCGGCGGCTAAAAAGAGTGCAAAGGGGAAGCATGGACCTCCTTGATCATGCAATTTGCCACCGGGTTTGCCCGTAGGAAGCACAAGTGACCCGACCCATGGTTTTGCAACCCTTCGGACTAAGCTAGAGGCTAAGAGGCTGAATTTGCTGCCTGACTTGGCAACGACTTTTGTTGGCCAGTTGGTGCATTTTGCTTGGATGTTAGGACTTTAACTTTTTGCCCACCAATGGGTTTTCCGTATTAAACCACTAAAAGTTAAGCTTTTAGCAGGGGAGCAGAAAGCAACCGAGTTACTCCAGCGCCCGCCAAACAAGTTGACCTGGCCAGTCAGCTCAGCATTGGGGTTTCTTCGCCAAAGCTTGTGGGGCTTCCTGGCGGCCGCCCAACGCACAACTCTGAGAAGGAGGCCGCGCCGTGCCACGCGTTGGGGGGGGGGGGCAAACAAGTGCCAGGAGAAAGACAAGAAGAAGGCGCGGAGTTCAGTTTGTTTTCCTTTTCTCCCGGTGCAGCTTCATTTGCTTGCGTCCTTTTGAACCCCCGCCATGGCTTCAATTTGGGACTTAGCAACCGCGCCTCCAGCGCTTGCTTGGTGTCATGGGTCGAAAGAATCAGGAGAAGAAGGGGGCGAAGAAGTACGACCCGGTGAAGACCTCGCAGGTGATCCTGCGGGCCAAGATCGAAAAGCTTCAGCCTGCTCAGGCGTCCGGGGGCTGAAGAGATGGAGCTTGGCCTTTTAAATGATGAAAGCGTGGTTGTTGTTGGAACATGTTGCATTTTTGCTTATGGTGGTTTAGTGGGAAATCCCCACTTCACTGCTAAGAAATTAGACTGTTGCTCGCCTGCCAACGTCAACCAAGAAAGTTGCACCAGAGCGAAAGAAAGCGGCTCTTTGGGGGCGCAATACTCAGGGTAGTGTAAGAATGCCTGGGTTGGAAGATTTGCTAAAGGCGTCCTGTTGTTTCCCTCCTCCGCCGAACTTCTCAAGCGCAAAGTCTTTGGAGCATTCGGTTTTGGCTTCAGGGGCAAAGAGCGTGAAGAGTGTACTGTCTTGGTTGTCAAGGGCCCCCTCCCCAAACAGGGGTCCTTGCATTCCCCCAATCAGCACGTTTGGGCCACTTAATTGAGGGGGAAATGCCAACAGCCCTGCAAAGCGCACCCCCCTTCCCTCCACCCCAATTGGGGCTATGTCGCATAATAGAATCCATTGCGAGATGCCACTGTTTGGCGTGCTTTTCGCAACTGTGGGATGATGTGGGCATGGTGCCCTCCAAGAAAAGATAGTACAAATGGGAAAAAGCAAACTTCCATTCTGGGGTTGCATGTCCTCCTGATCCAAGATTCTTGGTTTCCTGGACACCTATTCGAGTCGGGGAAGCAAGGGATGGGACGGTTTGGAGAAGGTAAACCGAGATGTGGCTTGGATTTGTGGTTTTATAATTTTTGAAGCCCTGGTTGTAGAGAGTAAATGGGGAACCACAGCCTCCAAACCACCCAACCATTCTCTGACTTGCGGCCGCATGCTTCATTCACTTGTGCCCTTTTGGGCCTTGTTGCTGCTCCCAGGGACACAAAGTCAGACTCCCCAAAGAGGGGACCCCAAGGCAGCGACCCCTGACCAAAAAAGGCAACAAAGGAAAAGAAACATAAGCTAATTGGGAGGGGGTGTATCTCCAAACCAAGGGGTACTTCGGCAAGCCGCCCCATTGCCGACCGCTTTTTATGATTACCATTTGGCTTACCTCTTAAAAACACAACTTTTCAACTTTTTGGGTAACATGGGGGGCTCTATGTCTGTAAAATATTAACTTTTCCAGGGCTTGGAGTTTTAAGGGGTAAGCTGGTGTCCCCATGTTCGGCAACCATTTTGAGCCATGGCCCCAACGGTGAACTACTTGTGGGTCCACACTGGGCCACTGACGGCACGGTGGAGGAAAAAAAACAACAAAAGCGCGGGGCTGAGCTGATCTGACCGCAGGCTCGGTCTATGGACTCCACCGCGGAGACCACCATGGACGGCGGACGATCCGACCGCTCAGAGGCCGCCGGAAAACGGGGAGCTCGAGTCGAGAAAGGGGAAGGAACTCTAGGGTTTGACTCCCCACTCTTTTCAACCATCGCTCTTTCCAAAAGCCAGATCCGCTTCCGGAGGTAGAAAGAAGGATCCCTGGAAAGAATGGGGAAGGGACCCCTACAAAAACGGGGAGCTCGAGTCGAAAAAAAGGAAAGTGATCCGGAACCTGGGCTTGAATGCTGTGGATGGTGGCAAAATTCGCTTCTCGCACAGGGTTGAAACCAACGTTGTTTGAAATTTTCAGGGGAATCATGATTCCAGGGTTTCTTAGGTGGTGCGAAATGGATTTCGTCCATCCTCAAAAGAAAACTGGGGGGGGGGGGGAGGGCAGGGTTAACCTTAAGCGTCTTGGACAAGAACAACATATTTCCAACTTTGGGAGGGGCCAAAGCGGACTCTCGTGTGCTTGCGAAGCAGGCCTTTGCTGGCAAGCCAAGCTACATGGGGTCCAAAAAGCAACACGCGTGGGTTTTTCTTTCTGATTTTTTTTTTTTTTGGGGGGGGGGGGGTGCGCGCCCCAAGTTCGACTCTAGACTGTTCAGATGGTCTGGGCATCAGGTCTGAAACCCTTGGGCCCCGGTTCGGTGTAAGGCGGGCACCGTAGCCAATGCAGGGCAAGATGACTCGACAGATGACTGACTCCGACGAGTGGTCCATTGACGAGGAGTGGGCGTCTTTGAGCGAGCCGACCTACAGTACCCGCTAAAAGCTGTTATTCAACCCCTGCACTTGATGTCTGCCCGGGTTGTCCTAGTATGTTCTTGGTTCCCCTGCCTTGCTGAGCCAAGACCCTCTGGACACAACGGCAGAAAGAGGGAGAGAACCAGGGTTTCTGAATACGCAGTTCACATTGGCCAGTTTGCATGTTGAACCGAGAGAAGCCACGACGGGACCGAACGTGTTCGAAGTGAGTGAAGCTTGCCTGTGGCTGCATCACTCTCCAAAACACAGCAGCAAACCCCCTATGATGCCAGACAATCCATGTGGGCAATAGACATGTACTTATAAATGCCAACATTTGACCCACTTGGAGGAGTAAAGATTGTATACATGGATTGTTTGGGGACTGCATGCAGGCAAACATTGATACCTGCTCGGGCTGCGCCTTTGCCGGGCTTGCCTTGTGTTCTTGGGGCAACTTTCGGCCGTCTTGACGTACTGACTGTAGCACCCTTTGCGTCACAGAGGCGACCGACGCTCCAATGAATATCACCTGCGCGCAGGCACCATTGGCAGAGGCTTGCGACTTCCAGAAATCAGATGTCCTGCTAAACCTCCAAGGCCCGACGGCCAGCAGTCCGTCAAACGTGAAGACCCTCGCAACTTGCCCTCCTTCTCCGAAATCCCCCCACCTGACCTGGGATGGACGGAATCCGACACCAGGTAGGCGGTTTCTTGCGTATGGATTCATCCATGCCAACTCGTGCCTGGCGGGGATTTTGTGCACCCATAGCGCAATCCAATTCCTGCCATACTGCGATTGTAAGGGAACAAGGAACCGATTCCCACGATCAAATCGTGGAGTATCGTGGAATTTCAACTCTGGCTTTGTGGTTTTTCTCATGGGCAAAGAGGAAAAATCATGGATTCCGCGGTGGAGTGAGGAGCAAGGAAACCCCAAAGTTTACCCTAATCTCGGACTGTCGAGTGTGGTCATTGGGGCATCCACCCTAATTACTGTGGATGGTTGCGAAATCCATTTTGCTCCACGTTGAAGCCATGGTTGAAACCATAGCGCATGTTGGTATTTGAAGGGGAGTCATTATCAGAAACCAGGGTTTCCGAACGGTGGTGGCGAGAAGCGGGTTTTGTCCGTCCACAGTAAGGGGACCCTATTCGGCAGGGAAAGCTTTAAGCTTCCATTTGCCTCTTCGCCCCCTGCAAAACTAGAACACTGTGAAATCGATTCCCTTTAAAACGAACAGCCCTAAGGCTTCAAAACTGCTTGCTTTCAAGGGCTCCTGAGGAATTGGTCGGGGTTCTCCATTGGAGGGTGCGGGTGTGTGCATTGGAGGGGTCACGACCCTTAGGGAGGTGGGTGGGTGCCCAAGCCTGCGCTCGGATATGCAGGACCTCCCGGCGACACCTGCTCAGTCTGCAGGCGCGAGTTCTGTAGGGAGCCACCCCAGTGATTCGTTTGGGGCGCGAGCCATTTTAGAGGCACCTGGGTCTGTTCTTTTTTGCGGGGGGGGGGGGGGGCCGCACAAAAACAAATATTTTTGTATACCATACCAAGAGTAGAGATGTTTACCACTGTTGGGCAAAAGACCCTAGTTTTTTCCACAGCAGTTAGTTCTTGGCTTGTCGCTGCTGGGACTCAAGACGCAAATCGACACCCGGGTGGAATACCCAGTTGCACCGTGGCACCCCAGGTTTCCTTTGTTTGGAGGGGAATTGGCTTTGGAATCAACTGCCAAACAAACGGTGACCAGTTTTCACGAACATCCACTGGGGCTGGGAACCCTTCGGCCGGTAAGGAAGACGAAAACAGCATCTTCCGCGGAGTCCTTCCCCTTTTTTTTTTGGGGGGGGGTCCAGTTTCAAGCCGCCTGGCCGATTCGCAGGCTACTTTTGTTTTAAAGGGAACTACGACTGGACAAATATTGTTCCGCATTGTTCGCACGGGGCGAGAACCAACGCCACTGGAAGTTGAGTCCCGAAAAACCGGGCGCACCGAAAGAAAGCCCTTAGTCCCAAGACGCCCATAGTGGAATGCGGTCAGACTAAGCTTGCTGGCAGGCGCCGAGCTCGCCCCCTTTTGGCATTGGGGCAAAACTCTTTGAAAGGGTCCTGGCCATATGATAGTATCGAGTTCCTGGGCTTTATATTCACTTTGTTTGGGGTGGCAAGCAACATCTTCTGTGACTTTTGGCTAGAAAACGGTTAGGGGGCTGCTTTTTGTGGATCCATCCCTGTAGAATATTAAAAGGGTACTAAAAGATTACTCAAGAGGACCAACAAGGGAAAAAAAATGTGAAATCCACAAGGGGCGCGGATCCAAACCGTTTTCTAGATGTTTTTCACCACCCCGCTCGATCGGAAGCGGGTTGATCTTTGGCACAAAATCGGCGGCCGGCTCGCCAGTCTTCTGTGAGCTCATGGATTGGAGAGTTCGAGGAGGACATTTCTCAGAGCCTTGGCAAATCCTTGGGGGTAACATGGGGGTAACATGGGGGTAACATGGGCTATGTGTCTGTAAAAGATTAACTGTTTCAGGGCTTGGAGTTTTAAGGGGTAAGATCCGTTTTTTTTTTTTTTCTCCGATGAAACACGAATCTCGATCACTTCTTGAGTTGATGGACTTTAGACTCACTTTTTTGGGGGCTGGACCATTTGGGTGGGAAGTAAGAAGTTTGGGTTCCTTTTTTGTCCCATCCACTCAGGAAATGAGCATTGGCTTTTTCCGTGGGGGTATGGAAGAAAATGAAACCACCGCAGGCTTTTATCCTTGCTTTCATGTACCAGGCCTGGCAACCTTAATTTTTGACCCACCTCTACATGTTTCTATATTTCCGGATCCCGTTCAGTTGTGCAAAGTTCGGAGCCTCCCAAGAGGTGGTGCTCGCTTGCCGGCTTTGGGCATCGACCTTTTGACCTTTCGGTTTCTAGCCCTCAAACGCCGATAACATTTTATTTCTGAGTCCAACCTGGGCAACTGGGGTTCTCACTTCCTGAGTTCCTGGACTGCATACGTTTTGGGAAGACAATTTTAGTGGCACTCAGAAGTTTGAACTTTTAGGGGCTCCACTCAAAAAGTGAGAGTTTGGAGAGGCCGGCTTGGCCTGAACAACATCCGGGGACTAGGCCGAAGTAACCAAGTTTCCCAAGCTGCGCAAGTAGGCCAACTCCGGACATGTACCCTACGCTATGGGCTCAATCATGCGGTGTGTTTTCGCGAAGATGAAGCTTCAAGCTCCGTGCGCGTTGGCTTGAACAGGGCTTCCTATAGTTCGTTCATCTCTTTCGGCGCCAGTGGGTGGTTTTTTTCTTCACATAGGGTGACGTCTTTAGCTTCGGGGAAAAAGGGCCTGCTACACCACGCGGCGGCGCTGCCTGCCCGCTTTCCGGCTCCTTCAGTGGGAATTCAGATCTTCTGGCCTTCGGTTAGCTCGGCTGGACGTACCCCGCAGCATTGCCGCACTGCTTGCCGCAAAACGGGGCAACGGTGCAGGGACACGCGAGGCCGTTTGCCCCATCCCATAGCGTGAGCAAAAAACAACTGTCAGCGTCTCTTGTTTTCCGCCAGCGCAAGGGTGCGTTTCTCCGGAGGAGCTGGAAGCGTGCTGCCCAATCTCTCACGAGCCTCACGGCGCCGACATGGACCCTGCGCCATCCGGAAGGTAAGCCAGTGACACCGTCTCTGCATTCTAGTGCCATGTCCAAGGCAATGGCCAACTCGCTGAGCGATGCTGCAAAAGCAACGCTCCTGGGGCCAGAACCTTTGATCAAACCCTCTCTTCAGAGCTTCCCTCAGCATCTGTAGCTCTGCACTCGGCTCTTGAAGGGGGGGCAGCAAAAAATCAAGAACAACAACCGCTTTTTGTGTTCAACCCTGCCTGGACCCAGTAGGTAGGCCAGTCTACTACTGGGTCCCCTATTAGTCCCTGGCCCTTATTTGCAAAGCTCAACGAGTCCTGTTTACTGACACAGCCTTCTTTGAATCTGTGTGTTGCTAAAAGCAGCGATAGCTAAAGGACATCTGCAACTAGATACAACCGAGAGAGAGAGAGAGAGAGAGAGAGAGAGAGAGAGAGAGAGAGAGAGAGAGAGAGAGAGAGAGAGAGAAGCAGCTTCTAGTGCACCAGAGCCACAAACCGGGCAGCCTCCCCAGCGGTGGCCCGCTCGGGATCAGGCCCGGGACTGGCTCCGCATCAGCCAAACAGCTAGAACAACAAGGGGAGGGAGGGGGAGCCAGTGCGTTACCGAAAATCGCCCCGAAAGGGCCCAGGTTCCCACGCCAACCGGGCCCGAGCCGGAAGCCCGTACCACCGGGCGTGAGCCCGAGCCACCCACCACGGAGCCGTCAGCCAGGATGGCAGCAAAAGCGCTTGCACTTGCCCGGGTCTGCTGAACACACCTGTCACCACAAAGCCGTCCTCCAGGACGGCAGCAAAAGCACTCTGAGTTGATTGGATCTGCTGGACGCGCACCAACTGCTCTCCCACATGGCTGCTGTCACCGCCAAAGACACAATCTCCCAAAGTCAGATGTGAGCTCGCTCCACCCGGGCGTGAGCCCGAACCACCCGGGCGTGAGCCCGAACCACCCGGGCGTGAGCCCGCTCCAGTGAGCCCGAACCACCCACCACGGAGCCGTCGGCCAGGATGGCAGCAAAAGCACCTGCGCTTGCTTTGGTCTGCTGAACACACTTGTCACCACAAAGCCATCCTCCCGGCTTCTGCCGCGTGGGCCGGCGCGAGGCCGCAAAAAGAACAAGAGAAATATATATATATAAAAAAACAGAAAAGAAAAAAGGCACTGTCGCTCCGAGGGCGAAAAGGGAATCATGAACCAGGTGCTCATCGGACCGAAACGGAAGAAGGAACGAACAAAAAACAAACAAAAAACGAGAATCGGGGTCCTGGCCCACGCGCCATTCCCAATTCGAAACCGCCCCCGGACCCAAGGGGAACTAGAGCAACCATTGTTGCATCTTAGATACAACAATGGTTGCTGCCGTACTACAACTTTCATGAAGGAGCGCATGTGGCAACAAGGGGAGCTACACAAGTAGATTCTGTGCATGTTGGCTGTGTGCCCATTTGAGTGTAGTATTCTCATGGCTTGCCTTGTGCATCATACGCTCTATGGCAATTGTATAGGGTAGGGTGGGAGAGAATATGTGTGCCCGTGGCTTTGGCGTCCAACTGGATTTGTTGAAGGTTAGGCCAATGCGCAGCAATGTCATCAGGCTGCTCGAAATGGATATCTCACTGGGCGGAAATCTGCCCTTCCATTGAAAGCAGTGTTTTCATGAAATGTTTCATGAAAACAAGTGTTATTTGTCGAACATAAGGTTCGGTTGGCCAAAAGATATCTACTTATCCGCAGTTATTTTGGAATTTTATTCTCTTACCCCCTTACCCCCTACCATACCAGCTATTGCATGCCAGCACCTATCCCGGACATTGTGGAGTTTAAAGTTGCCGTCTGCCTCCCCACAAATTTCCTGATCTACGTAGTGGTCTGCAAGAAAGCCAGCATACCGAGGGCCCATTTCCAGCCCCCATGCCCCCATTTGAGCTACACTAGCTCAGGACAGCCTGGTAGCCTATGGTACGTGTAGTTTTTTCACAAAGAAGTCGGGGAAGGAGCATCATCACCACAACTTTGAGAGGCCTTTATTCCACTAACCCCTTGTGAGCTACAGGCATGCAAGGCGGAAATCCAAGATGCTGGTTCCAGCAAGTGTTTCTGATGATCCAGAGAGAGTTTCTGACACCTAGATCATTTAAGCTGAGATGGTGGTAGGAACTTCGGTCCCCTCACTCCCACATGGTGGGGGACTTCCATCAATATTTGTCAAGCAAGGCTGTCTCAAAATTTTGTGGCCCGCTGATTCTCACTCCCTGAGTTCCGTTGCGGACTGACATGCCACTTTTTGGAAGTTGAAAAAAATCAGTGGCAAACAGTTGACGTTGAGACTTCTTTTGGCCAATTCACTCGGTCGGAAGTGAGTTAATGTTGGGGAGTGAATAATAAAGGGCCCCCCCCTCAATCAAAATGGGGGGGGTCAATAGAGGAAACCCTAAAAACAAAATGAGGGTCAGACCGGGTCTTCCTTAAGTAGTATTCCAGTAAGTATTGGTTAGTATTGGTTTAGTATTGGTTTAGTGTTCTTGCTGACTGGCTTAGTACTGTTTAGAATTGGTTTAGTATTGGTTTAGTATTCCCTGACCCCAGTCCTAAAAAACTTTTCTCAATTAACTCCCCTGAAGCAAATCTCATTATTTGCTTCCTGGGTGTTCCCTGTACTACCCCCTTGGGATTTTTTGTGTATTGACTCCCCATTTATTATTCGCAACCTAACATTAAGGGAACCAAGTAAACCCAACTAGGGGGAGTGAAGTTTGTTGGCTTCTCTGTTTGGGCCAGCCGACTCGACACCGGAAGCAAGAAGGGGCATCCAGCGCGCCCAGGAGGATGTTGGAGAAGTGGAAGGCTTCGAAGCGCCCAAGCGAAGCAAGCGCCGTGGCTTGAAAGTGTTTTTGTTCCGCTGGTAGTGCCCCCCATTTCAGGAGGCAGTGCCAATCGAATGGTTTACCGCATGTTTTGTTGGTTATGTTTGTTTTTGTTTTGTTGGTGTCTTTGTTTCAGTGAATCTGGCGGTGCAAGAGAGGGGCCCTGAGAATTGGAGTCCGAAGAAAATCCCATCCCTTGCTGGTGGTCTTTGTTCTGTTGGTAGCGCGCCCCGTTTGAGCGAGAGGCACATTGTTATTGAAAATGCGCACCGCGCCGCACGCGCGGAAGCATGCGGAAGGCTTCGCGGGAGGGATTTGTTCGCGGAAGGTTTGCGGAAGCTTTGTGGCTGATATGAAACTAAATGTTCCAGCGCGTGCATGGAAAAGCACAGAGAAACGATTACAGTAGATTAAAAGGGTGTTGCTGCGTACAAGAAACGCAACGCTTGCTCGAAGAGCAGTTGCCAACAGCAAGCCAAGAAGACCAAAACAGCTGGCGTATTTTCGCGGAAAGTTTGCGGAAGCTTCGCGGAAGCTCCGCAGAAGGGTGGCCCCGTGTTCGCAGGCAAGTGGCCACGTAGCATGGGAAGCCCAATGGGCCCAAGCCTACACTGAAGCGAAACACTGCCTTACTTAAAATGATTTTTCCTTTCTGCGCCAATACTCACGGAAGCAAATCTTGTGAACCATGCGCCGCGGAAGGTTTGCGGAAGCAAGCAATGCAACACATGTGCCGCAGAAGTTCGCAGAAGGGACCTCTTGGCCCGCGGCAAAGATGCGGAAGGGTCAGCGAAAGCTTGACTAATGCCCAAGCAAGTTTGTAGGGAATACAAACCAACGCTCATTTGAGGAGGCAGTGCCAATCGAAAGGTTTACCACATGTGTTGTTTGTCCATGTATACCATGTGTGCTCCCATTTGTGCTCACTAGGCCCGGGAAGGTGGCTTTGTTTCAGCCGGTGCGAGAGATGGGGCCCTGAGATTTGGAGCCTGAGCCCAAGAGAAGCCAGCCCCAGCTGGTGGTCTGCTTTAAGAGAACCCCAAACGGTTCATTCTCACATTCCCTACCTATCGCACCAGCAAGTTGTTTCAGCTTCCTCGGCAAGCGCTGCAATGGCAAATCTTTAGCTGCTATTTGCTCTCCTTTTGTTTTGCGTAAGGTCTGCCTATGTTCCTGTTGGTAGGCTTACAAGAGGCATGAGCCGTATAGGAAGGACTTCATCCACCGTGCCTGTCTCTTTCTTCATCACAGCAGGATACGAGGGGACCAGTGGCTTTGCCAGTCCGGAACGGGTTTTTGAGAGCCAGGTGAATGACATATTCTACTCAAAGTCTCCATGTTCTGAAAAGGGCCCCTGGCCTGGGTTTCGTATATTTGCTTGCGAATATTGTTTATTTGCCCTTTTGGTTTCAAAAGAATTATCGGTGCTGGACATATTGTTGTTCTTCCAGGGGACTTGAGCAAATGCAGGACCCCAGAGAGAGATGCAACTCTGCGAGGCAAAGGGTCATGCTGGAACTCTGATGTGACTTGGCACAAGCGCGGCGAGCTTGTTGAACCCAGGCTTAGCTTACACGCGTTGCCCCTTGTTTGTGTTCTTTCAGGTGCCTTTTTTCTGACTTCCTGAGTTCCGAGACTTTACATTCTTGGGGCAGACCATGCTAGTGTTAAGCAAACAGTTGTTTGGCCAATCCACTCGGGAAGGTCCCGGTGTGAACATGTTCAAACGGTTGGCTTCATTCCTATGGTTGCCAAAGGACCCCAATATGGGCCAATCCCAATAGGGGCGAATACCGTCAAATAAGGCCTATTGGGGGCGAACAGGGTTCCTTTTTTGGGGGGTCCCCAATGCCAACCATGAGAGTCATGCCGATTTGTTACAAGCCTAGCTACCAAGCCTGTGTTGATGCACATGCGTTGCGCACCGAGGTGTCGGACACGTATTTTTAAGATGCTTGCCGCATGTTCACGTGGCTGCCAGCTCATTGAAAAGGCAGACCAACTCTAGGACCTTCGCGGACCCATTGGCCCATGGCCTTCCGACCACATTCAGCACGAGTTCTGCGACGTTTGTCATGTTTTGCGAGTGGTCCTGGAATTTCAGCCAAGCAATTTGCCTCGGGGCGCGAAATACCGCGATCCAGTGCACGGCGAGATACGGCTCCGATCAGAGGGACAAACCGCCCGGCCGGATCGACCTACATGATTTTCCCACGATCCATGCTGAGTCAAGGTTCAAAAAGGGTTAGCCTTCTATTTTGGGGTTCTTCGGGCGGGGCAGCTGAGTGTGTTTAAACATGGATCTTCCCTGAGTTTCAGGGGCCCTGTGACCTTTGCAGCTCGACTGCAGAGAGTGAATTGAAGCCAAGCACAGGCTGCCCCCGGATCACTAAGCCTCACGGAGTTTTCCCAAATGCTGAGACGGTGCTGCCCCCACCCGAATCTTCAAACCGGTTTATCATTTGTGCGTCCCATGAAGGGAAAGCATCCCAATTGATTCATTGGGGGCATTCCCTTGCAACCTGGTAAGATACCCCTCAAAGAAGACAAGCATCCAGCCTGTTTTGCCTAGGTTGCCAAAGACTTGCCAAGTTTGGGGTGAAGCCTCACTGGGTGCTAAATAGCACATAGTGTTTAGTCTCGCTTAAGGAAACCAAGCCAAAAGCGGATGGACTGTCTTTTCCAGACCTACTTTGCACCCAGCTTAACATGAACTTAGGTCACCCCAAGTTGGTGGTTTGGATGTGTGGTTCGGATTTGGATTTGATTTAGCTCTCAACGGGGGTGAATGGGAAACCCTTCCTAACCTCCAACCCACCCAAACCACCAGTTTTGCCACGGGAAAAAATGGAAACGACTGTTAGACTCTATGATTCTTCATGGGTCCTCCCTGGAACCACTTGGAGCAGTCCAGGCCGAGTCCGTGGCGAGTCTGCTCCTCGTGGCTCCCCAAGTTCCGCGGGAAGTCCGCGGGATCCAGGAAACGGCCCGGGACCCGACCGGGGCCCCGGCCTCTCTCGTTTTTTCAAGCTAGGCTGCCAACTTCTCTCCCCTTTTCTCCCTCTTCTTCTTTGGTTGGGAGGGTTCCCCTACTAAGACAGACAAAACAGGAAAAACTCGGGCGGTCTTATTCTAACCTCCAAAACTGGCGGACCTAGCAAGAGTCGCTCTTTGCCGCCGGTGGGAAAACACTCCCATGACTGGGGGACTCGTCGGCCCGAAGCAGCGTGTGTCTTTTTCTCTTATTTGTTTTGTTTTTGGTTGTGCGAAGGTCAAGAAGTCAAGAAGCAGGCTTGGGGTTCATGATAGTTGTTTTTTAGTTGGGAATAGGTAAAGATCAACCGTTTTTTTTTGGACTGGGGGGGCACCTGTTATGAAACTGAAAGACAAAAATGAAGCAGAAGCAAGTTGGGTGTGGGAAGACCAGGGTCGCTAGGAATAGTTGGTGGAAGACACCTTTGCACCCCCGAAAGCACCAATCCAACCCACCAAGCAATGCATCTCTGGGGCTGAACATTTTTTTTGGGATGACTTTGGCTTGAAAGTCCCCCAGTCGGTATAAAGGTGAAAGCGGCTCTCCAAAACCGCGGCGCCGGCATCGCATGTTCACTCTGGCCCCGGGGCCCTTCGCTGATTCTCTGGCCCCGGGGACCAGCTCGGCGACGAGGGACTGACTTCGTGCGGTCAATATTATGGGAGCAAGGGACCAGGCAGCTCAAGAGTTTGCCGTATGTTGCCCAGGCTTCGTGGGATGAAAACTTGCAAAATTGAAAGAGTCCAACATAATGATCAAGTAGTATTTAGGGAATCCGCACGTGTCTATTGTGTTTCAAGAGCCAAGCGTGTCCGAGCGCCCTCGGACAGCCCAAGAAGCCAGTCTGGCCATCGACTTCCCAGCAACACGCCATGCATGTCCAACTTACGGACGCAAATTTGTCGAGGGAGCCTGTAAAGAGAGAGCTGGCTTCTGGGCGCTGTTCAATCCGTGGGATTTTCTCCGCTTGGGAGCCCTCTCGGCCAAAAAGGAACCCCCAGACGCCCCGGAAGAGGAAGATGTCGGGGGCCTTGAGCGGGTTCTAAAAGAATTGGATTGGATCGCCGGACAATGCCAATCCGATTCGAATCGCAACCATTTGCGGCGCTCATGAAAAACAAGGGGCCGCGTTTTGCGGGGGGAAAAGAGCGCCAAGGCTGAGCGCTTGTTCCCCCTTCTAGTCTTCTAGTACTTGCCCTTTTTGCAGCCGGAAGGATTCCGGCTGCACGCACGCTTAGCCCTTTGTGCTGAGAAGACCTAGTATGGATTTTGCATGGCTTTGATGCGCCAGGCAGGCCCTCTAGGTCTCTTTCCATGTGGAGCGATTGGAGCACCAAAGTCATTGGCAGCTAGGGCAATGGGAACCCCCGATCGAAGTATGTCCCCTACACGAGATCCCTCGCATTTGGACACACCTGTATTCATGTATTAATCGGACACTGACTTGCCCAAGCCTGGGTCCAATTTCATCAGGCCTCAAAAGGTTAACCTTGTATTGCCAGGTCCTTTGGGCAAGTAAGGATGGCTTTACTAATCCAAATTCAACATTGCTGGCTGACTTACCCCTTTCGGAAGGGCTCGATTGACGCAAAGGCTTTAGCGGGCCTCAAGTTTGCATTTGGTTTCGTCTGTATGTTCCCAAACTAGCGTCGGTTTTGGCTTCTTGTTGCTTTCCATTTTAATCCAACAAGGGGCCACCTCAAACCAAAGACATCCATTTCACACCTCAGACTTCCGGTGATCAATTTCTTGGGTGTTGTTTTGTTCGCCTTGGCCAATCACCGAGTTTCCTGACTTGACGGGAACATCTGGAGAAGTCACCTTTGGTGCGCCAGGAGTGCATCCTTCAGTCGGGGTCAAATCAGCTGGAGCTTGTCAGCTTTTGGGCTGCAAGCTTTGCAAAACTGTTTCAGCCACTCGCCGGACGTTTCTGGCCAAGCTACTCGGGGAAACGAGCCTCAGCGCAGAGGGCTAGAGGAATAGGCCTCTAAGACCGCGCGCGACCTGTGGACCACCTCCGTTTTGAAGGTAGCGAAAAATCCAAGGCAGCAGCTGGCCTTTCTTGCGGGGTTGGCCTCCAATGGTCCGTTTTGAAGCAACATGACCACAATCAAAACCCGGGTAGATGAAGGTGTTACATGGTTCTGGGCAGACCATTGTCATACCAGGTTTTGATTATGACGCACATGGCCCCTTTGGCTTTCCATTTTTTGGGGCAACAACTTTCCGACCTCTACAAAAACGCGTGCTGACCGAACAGATGCCGTTTTGGACTTGTGTGTGCAAGCAGAAAAGACAAAGGCCTTCGCAGGGCGGGGGGTCGGAGGACGAGCACAAGAGCCAGGTTGGACCACACACGCCACATGGAGGGTTTCGGGTTGACAAAACATGGGCGTGGAGGGAGAGGGACAGAGAGAGAGAGAGAGAGAGAGAGAGATGTTTTTCTCAACAAAGCAACTACGACAGCGTGTTTGTGCTCTTGGTTTTCCTTCAACACACCTCCAAAAAAGGCGGCCCGCGAAAAAAAAAAACAAAATCCCACTGAGCTGTCCCCCTGATGCAGCCAAAGCCCGGGGCACATGAGAAGTGGGCGTGGCGTGTTTGTTCGGATCCGAACCGTCAAAACGGCTCGTTTTCCCTTAAAAGCCCCCGCAAGAGGAGGGTTTTCCTTAAAAGGGGACCCCCTTTAAAAGGGTACTGTCGGAAACAGACACCCAACAGAGTCCTTGATAGATCTCTTTCTCTTGGCCTGGGTTCGATTGAAGCCCCCCCAAAAAAACAAAACACACACACAATGGCACCGTCAGAAAGACATATAATTATCTAGGAGGGGCTTCATGTTGGCGGATTGATCAACCTGTCCCTTTTCCTCGCGGGTTGTTCCTGCAAAGTCTGAATCCAGCGGTCTGAGTCCGAAAGCTGCTGGTGCTCAGTACAGGGTGGCTGGGAATGAACCGTTAGGGGTCCCCTTAAAGGAAACCAGGGATGGTTTATAGGGGCATTATTCCGGGGTTACCATTAGACACCTATGCAACACATCGATTTTGGAGCCAGCGAGCCTCCAACGGGTCCGCTGTCAAAAGGGCCAGGGTAGGCAGCTCACCCACTGTGGTTGCGAACTGCATGTCTCGCACCACCGTTCAGAAACGCTGGGGAATGAGTCGATTTCCCCCGAAATACAAACAAGCAGGGGTTTCCCCTGGTTTCGGAGCGGGGCGAAGTAGGGACAAACACGAGCTCACCCAGAGGGTTTCTCATTTCTCGCTTCCCGAGTTCCAGGACTATATTTATTTTGTTGGTGCTCAGTAGGGAATGTGGGAATGACTCCAGGGATTCCCTTAAAGGAAACCACAAGGGATGGTTTATAGGGTTCATTCCATTCTGATTCCCTGCCGAGCACCAGCGAGTTATTTGAGAGGGCCATTTTAGGGGCAACGAGCAGGTTTGGTCTTGGCCAATCCCACTGAGGACTCTTTTTCTTTCCAGCGGGGCGAGTGCTTCTAGTCGCCACTGTAGGCTTCCATTTGCTGAAATGAATATTTTGTTGTTTTCCCTTGTTGGTTTTAACGGATATAGTTTCGTTTTTTTTTTTTTTCACTACTGTTAAACAACCAAAAACAAAGACAGGGGGCTTAAGTGAATTGAAGCAGGTAACCAAGGTTTACCTCTACATTTTTACCAGGTCTTTCCTTACATGCCTTATGGCGACATGGTGCTGGAACCAACCGTCGCAGGTGCATCTGCGGCTCTCGCAAGGATGACCCCTTTGACACGAATAAGGCAACGCACTGCGCTGGGGCGATGGGCCGGTTTGACATGGGCGATTTTGCGAATTCGCGCGCTATCCCTGGCTTTCTTGTTTGGTTCATGTTCGGTCATGCCCCCAAAAGTTCTAAAGGTCTAGCTTCTTGTCCTGGGTCCAAAACTGGGTCGGAACGAATCTAAGACCCCTTCTAAGTTCACAAAGGGCCAATCATGAGGGCCCCCTTCTCAGACCCGAAGGTTCTCCGAACCTTTCCTAACTTGTGCCGGGAAGGTTGGAGGGGGCGGGGGATTTGGAGATTTCCCTATGAGAAATCATGCTTAGTGAATTGACCCCAGATGCTGGGACAAAGTCCTGCACTTAGGATAGACGCTGAAAGTATTGGGATGAACCACCAACAATAACTACGTCCCACAGTAGTGCCCTTTTACCCTTTTTTGGGGGAGGGTTCCCTACTAAAATAGACAACAGAAAAAAAGGGTATACCCTTATTCTAACCTCTCTACTGGAGGACCTAGATAAGAAACGGGATCTTTAACGGGCAGTTGCCTGTTGAAGGAGCACTCCTCAGCTTCTTTCGGGTGGACGCTGTGTGGGTTGAGTACAGCTGACCATTTGACTTCCTCTTCATGGGGGTTGGCCCTCCCAAACAGTCCAAGTACCCTTTTGAGGATTCACCCCCCCTCCCCAGTTATTGATCCGGGGGGTCTCCTTTAAATGTGGATTCCTTGATTTTTAGAGCCACCCCTGATTGAGAACTGGGGTTCAGGAATCAGGGTCAACATAAACCCTCCTTTTTTTGCGGCCCCTGAAGGTACATCTCAGCAGGTTCTTGAACACTGCGGGCCTTGGTGACGTTGCTTTTTCTGCCCAGTTTGGGCCATTCCGGGGCTGTGGGCCAGGTCTTGGGAGACGACTCGCGCGCTGATCTGGAGGAGCTCCGAAAATAGTACCTGGATTCTTTCATGATGCTTGGAACGTGGTTGGTCATTACCCAAAAGGGAAGTGGCATGACCCCATTTCTTTTCTGGGTGGAGAGTCTAGGTAGGAGTAGGTGTGCTTCTGCTTTTTGAGTCCGATTCGCGAGGTTTTGGACAAACTGTTCGGGACCAGATTTAAGTAACGATCTAGAGCCTGAGCTTTTTCTGGCCAATGTGCTTGAGACAAAAGGGGGAGGGGGGGCAAACGGCTAAAAGCACAGCACCAACGCAGCCGGCGTTTGCCCAGCGGGGTCCCCAGGCGAAATTGGCAGGCGCTCCCCGCACAGCTCCTCAACTAAAATGCTCGCGGGAAACTGGTGACATGCCCTCGCTGGAGCCCCACAAGCAGGGTTACAAACCGGGACTCGGAGGTTCAAACGTCACAACAGGTACACATACAAACTGCCGGGACGCAAATACGCCATCGGGGTATAAGCCAACCTGGCCAGAAGCTTCCTTACGCCGTTTCCCGATGGTAAGCCTTTCCTGGAAACCTACAGTTGGCGCAACTAAAAGGGGGGGGGGGCGCTTGAACACCCCAAAAGAATGGCCATTCGAAGAGTACAGTGCAATCATTTACTCAGTTCAACATGGAACCCCAAAACAAAAACTGGCGCAGCGGTTTTCTGGCTTCCTCAAGCCCATAGAAGGATCCTTTTCTCCAAACCCTCCTCGCCCACCCCAGATCTGAGTAGAAGGAATCTACGCTCCCGGGTTCCCCTCTTGGGCTTCTGGGCTGGGTGCCTTTCACCGGGGGCCCCAAACCGCCCCGGTCTTCCCCGGGGGCGGGGGAAAAGTCCGATCCATCCGTGAGGAGCCAATGGAGCTGCCCAGGCCGCAGGTCCGAGGCGCCCGGGGCTTAAGGCGGAAGGTTTCGGTGAGTCGGGGGACTGGGGCCAGGCGGTTGAGTGGAGATGGGGACTGAAAAACTGGAGCGGGGCAAGTAGTGTTGGCACAAAAGATCGAACCTTAGTTGGTTGATAGGTGGTCTGATTCCAACCACATCTCATAGGACACCCCCCCTTTTTGTTCCTAAACTGGAGTTGGTTAATCTGGGGTCAGCATTATTTTGACGGTTTCTGGGTGATCCAAGTTGGAGTTTCTGACTTGATCTTGCTGGTGCATGCTGGTGCGATATGTGGAGAATGTGGGAATGAACCGTTTGGGGTCCTCTTAAAGAAACAGAACGGGTCGCCCTGAGCGTGCGCTTTTTTGTGATATATTGGTTCTTTCAAGATACACATGTTTTCTTTCAGGAAACTCATAGTTTTGGGGCATTTCTCTGAAAAATGTGAAAAACCATGAGAAACCAAAAACAAAAAAGCAAAACACCACACACAAAAAACAACAAAAACAGCAAGACTATGTCAGCTGTCCTGACTTGGGGGGGGGGGGGCGGGGTAGTTTTTGTGTTTTTGTGTTTTTGTTTTTCTTGTCTCGAGTTTTTTGCATTCTTTGGAGAAGTGTGAAACAAATCGACAAAGCACAGAAGAAACCAATTCCAGACTGTGGGGGGTAGTCTTGTTTTTCTTTTACATTCTCGGTGTCTTGCACTTTCTAAAGAACACCAGAGGGGATGGTTTATAGGCCTGATCACCTGCAAGTTATCGAAAGTGGGTTGTTGTTTCCATTTAACCCAGCGCTTGTGTGACTTTGATCACGGTGAAATAGTGGACCTCGTTTTTCGTTGGCAAAAGGGCCCCTGCCAAGAGAAAGGAAACCGGACCCCCCCCTTCCCCCCGGTGTTGTATTCAACGGGAAACCGGGAAAGCAACGATGCAGCGGGCCGATTCGCATGAAAACCAAAGCAACTAGATGGGACCCCAACACTAGGGTGTATTGTTTAAAGCAAGTGCGCCAAGAAAATCGGTTTCCTGGTGGGTGAGGGTTGTCTTACAGGAGGAAACCACAAGGACAGCCACATTTGTTGAGGGGTCTGAAAAAAGACACACCCACATGGCAAGGGCTTCCACCGTTTCTTAGGAATCCCAATGGCCTGTAAACCCAGCGAGCGAGTCGCCTATTTCCAGCTTGTAGCATGAGTTGTTCGATCTTTTGCTGGGTGCCCAGAAACACAGCCATCACAACTGCGCCCCTTGTTCGAATTGCCAGGCTTTCCAACCATACCAACAATCTCTGTAGGTGAAGTAGGAGACTTCATGCTTCCTGCTGTGCTGGTTGGGGTGGGCTTCCATTTGAGGTCAACCGCTAAACCGCTGGGTGTTTTCCTCCCATGGCTGGGGAAGCAATGCGTCATTGACGGTGTGTTAACTTTCGCTTAGCATTTTGGGCCGCGACCATGTTGCGAGTAAGCCAACCACAGGAAAAAACACCAAACCCAAACTGTGCCAAAATACGGTGGAATTGGAGGATTCCTTGTTCCCCTACGGGGCATTCATGGCTGAAAGCGGGAGAATGCGAGTTTGCCGCTGGGATTTCAGGCTCCGCTTGGGGAACGGACATGGGAGACGCACCGGCAGAGGTGTCCTTTTTGGTTTGGTAGACGGGGGAGATCCATCCATTTTCCCCAAAGCACACCTAACCACTGGAGTTGTTTCTTGCGGTTGTGCCAAATGTTCAAGGCCAGAATGGCTGATAGACCATCCATGTGAATGACGTCAAAGCGGGTTGCTCGCACATCATTTGGAATGTGGACACTGCACCTCAGGATGTGGTGTACCTATGTGGGTATAGATAAAAACTAATAGCAAGACGAGAATGGCTCCAAAGTAAAGCTCATACCTTGGAGGCAAACCCCTATTTTTCCCGTTTTGCGCGGATTGACCCATTGGCGGGATTCCCGAGGTCCTCTCGTGCGCCGCGTCGCACGCCGCGAGCGAACTCGGGCTGGCGCTAACAGGGCATCCCCTTGAATGTTCGTTGCCAAGTTGGTAAGCGGTTTGCCACTAGCGTAGTAACCCACGAAGTTTCCGGAGCAACTCCGCAGAACTAGGGACTTCTATACACCCAGGTAGGGCACCACCGATTTCTAGGAGCCCGATTCCTATGTTCAGAAACACCGAGATGAAACTACAGGACCCAAACAACCACGGATGCCTCGGCCTTGGCGTTCAAGCAAGTACACCAAGGGAATCGGTTTCCTGCTCGGGTGTTTGGCCAAGTTAGCAAGTTAAGCAGTAACCTTGGTGATAACCAGCAACCTGGGTGACAACCCACTGATAAGCCCCCGACTCAGTGGAGTTAACCGAGCGGGTTCTAATCCCCGTGGGGAAAGTGGCAGTTTCTATCTGAATCTAGGGCCTAAAAACACGCACGGCAACTAAAATATGGATATTTGGCGTTCCTGGAGATGGCTTCATACAAAAACCTGTTGTTCCAGACTCCTCTCCAAAACCCCTAAGCCAGCCGTTGTTTTTGCTGACGTGTTGGCAGTTTGTATTTGAACAAGACATGTACAGAACGTGATCTTGGAAAGCCCAGCACTTGGGGCTGCAACTGAGGCAGCTCCCAAAGCGACCTATGCTCGCAAGGTAGCTTTGTATGTAGCGATTGGTGCGTAGAACCAACTCGCATGATCCCGGTCCCGAAATCTGCGTGTCCCGGTGGGCTAAACAAGCCCGCCCCCCAGGCCAGTCTTCCCCCAACTTGCCCAAAGTGGGCGTTTTCCCCATGTTTTGGCAACCATTTTTAGTGGCAAGAACCAAATGAAGCCTCAAAATGACGTAACCACATTTGGATTTGTTCTTGGTGACACGTCCAGTGTGACACTAGGGGTGACACATCACACAAACACCCCCTCCCTCAAACACACTCCCTTGGGAAAGACCAGAATTGACCATGTTAGGAGGTGTGTTTGGGGTGGTGTGCGTGGGTAATGTTGACCCCCCCGCCAGTTGATTAATAGGGGTGTGTCCCTGGGTCTGGGTGACATGTGGGGAATCAGACCACTTTTGGAGGGGCCAAAACCACTCTCTATTAATGGAGAGGGGTTGATTTTTCGTGGGGTCAACATTCCAGGTAAATACCAACCAGCAATGGGTGTCCCGTGTTTTTTCCAAGTGGTGCGACATGGATTTCGTCCACCCGGCCCAACTTCCAGGTACGACGCCACTTTGGGTCAGCCACTCCGAGGTGTGCCCATCCGCCGGGACTCCCGGCGCCCAAGAAACCGAAGAACCGAAGAACCGAAGAACCGAAGAACCGAAGGCGGAGCCCATTCCGTGCCTTGCGCGCGTCTGGCCAAAATGGGTGTGTCATGTCACCTGCCTTTTGGGTGTGTCACTGTTGTGTATTTGTTTTGGTTGGGAATCCACCAAAATGGCGGGTTTTCCTTTTAATCATGCGATGCAGGAAGGGGGGGGCGGTAGGAGGGGGGGCATGGGGCTCATGGTGCAAGCCTAGGATAGCGTTTGGGTTCATTGCACTCAAAGAGAGAGAGAGAGAGAGAGAGAGAGAGAGAGAGACACACACACCGAAAATGCACTTGCACAACGTCCGTGTGAACTGCCTGGATGGAGCTGGGAATTGCAAACTGCCATAGGAGTCAAAAGATGGACCAATCACCCCCGCCCCTTTCACCAAAACCCCCGGCCAATGGTCCAAGACCCTGGATACGAGGTGAGGAACCTCTATGGCTGCTTTCTTCTGAAGAGGAGGCTGGGTTTGATCGCGGCGCCGGATACCATCTAATGATCTGTGGCAGTTGCTGCCTTCAAGGGTCCAGAAGCGGTGAACGCCCTCAAGAGGGCGTGCAAGCGAAAAACGGGCTTGAGCACTCCATGACGGAGAGCTGCTTGTTACAAGGGAGGTCATATGAGCCGCCAACATCTGATCTTTCAGGGCAGTGGGGCCCGTTTTGGTCTCCCCTTCAAGCGGCAGCCTGGGGCCGTCCAAACATGGGCCCGCATTGGGGGGAACCACCACGGGTTCTTGGGCCTGTGAGGGCTCCCCTTTTTTTTTTTGGGGCACTACAAGCAGAACATCAGTTTTGAGGTATTTAGGGGGGTCCAATTCCAAAAAACAACATGAGCCACCCCATGTGTTTTTGCATTACAGGTTGTAGATCTTCTTTTGGAGGGATGCCAATGTTTGAAGCCAACAGGGTTGCCCCGAGCTACAAACAAAGCCCCGGCCTTCGCCAGGGAGCATCTCAGTTACCTGGGTAGCCTGAGTCCCAACAAGGCACTTGACAGGGGCTCCGTACAAGAGGAAATCTATCTTCCAGGTAAACCTCCCAAAGGTGCTATTGTAGATGTGCGAAATCCATTTCGCACCACTTTGAAACCATAGTTGAAACCATAAGGTTCGGTTTTTACAGGGGAATCGCATCATTCTCCAGGGTTTCTGAACAACAGTGCCAAAATGCCGATTCGCAACCATCCAGAGTATGTTAGGAGGGAAGGTAACCAGACATGTTTGTCCTATTTGTTGCGGGTGCCAACACCAGACCCGTTCCATGCGTTTTTGCTGCGTGGGACCCTTGCCGGGCTGAGAATGGAATCGCAGCCGTGATTTTGGCATGTGGGTGTCTTTGTTTTGGGTGTGCCTTGTTTTGGTGGATTTATTAGGAAGACGGGAAGGAAGCAACCGAAATCCAGCTTGGAGGATCCGATTCCCGCAACTCAGTCGCCCAAGGCCGACCTTTTGACCAGTTCGCCTCCGAGTTGGGTTCATGCTTGGCCCCAAAAAGTTGACCTTTGATTTGCAGGTCCTTGGTGCAAGTGAGAACCAAACCCTTTTGGTTTACTTTAATTGAGAGGATCCCTACGTTCTTCCTATATTATGCGGTTAGGATGCAGGGCTTGAGCCAATGGTGCGTGAAAAAACGGTCCTTTGCGCCAGGTGGTCGCGGTGACTGTGTCGCTCTACGCCGGGCGGCCCAAGTGCTCATGAACAGATCCGCCAGATTTGCCGAGCTCTCAAAATGCGCGGACCTCTTTAAAGGGAGGCAAATTCAGGGAAACCAACTAATTAGCAGGGATACAGGGGGAACCAGGGATACGGGAGGACTCCCCCTAAATGCACCTTGACTGAGTTTGATCTGGGAACTGGCGCCAAGGGAATCCCCGCATATCCCCGCTCCATCTGTATCCCCGCTTGTTTGTTTGTCCAAGCAAAAGAAAGCGGATGCCAGGGAAGCAGGGATGTGGACATATTTGCGGGGTCGTATTTGCACACGCTTTCCCTTTACGGGCAAACATCGCACATCCCCGCTTCCCCGGCAACCCTGCTCAATTGTTTTCACAAGCTTGGGGGACAACTGAACCCATGGTGCCATGTGGATATGTGTCGTGGTTCTCCTTTTGGGTTGAACCCTGACAAGGGCTTAAACAAAAAAAGGCGGACCCAGATCTGCGGCGTCGGAAATTCTGCTATTCGGTGCACCAAAACAGTTTTGCAACCATACCAAGGGTTGTGAAGATGAATTACCTGCTCTCGACCTGGATGCTTTTGGATGCATCCACATGTGCAGCCACCGCCTGGGGCTTGCCTTGGCATTGATTTCGAGGTCAATGGCTTCGAGTTCCGGCACAAGGGCGTAGAGGCACGGGCGTCGATGGCTGACCCGACAAAAAGACGGCGGAGTGAGGGAGTGAGGGAGTGGCATCCACAGTATATATTGCGAAATCCAATTCGCACCACTTGGAAACCATGGTTGAAACCATAAGGTTCGGTTTTACCATTTGTTGGCATTTACCGGGATTGACTCATTTCAGGGTTTCTGAACGGCGCGAAGTGGATTTCGTCCCGAATCTCACTCCCCAAGTCTCGAGTGGCCTCATGGTAAACAACGCTCACTTCTTTTGGAATGTTTTGGGAAGACCATTTTAGGGGTAAATCAAAGCTCGGACTTGTTTTTTGGCCAAACCGCTCAGGAAGTCAGAGCAACACCGGATTCGTTTTTCCAAGTCCACTCAAGTAGTGAGATTTCATCTGACAACACTTAAACACCCCCCCACCCACCCGCCCAGACACCCACGCATCGTTCCACTGGGGCTTCTGGGCGGCCTGGCCAGCCTTCGACGTGCTGCGAGCGGCTCCTCTTTGATGAATTGGCCATGCGGATGTGGGTGGTGAGGAAAAACAACGGGTAAGCCCAAAATGGGTTGCCCTGACAAACGGAAAGGACTAAAACCTGCGGTCCGATTCCTGGTGGCTTAGTTTTGGCCCATACCCATGTTTTGGCCTAGTTATTTGGGCTAGGGACGTGGTATGTAGCAGTAATTTTCTGGTAACCCCAAGAAGCACACCATCCATGCCAGGAGTATACCCACAACCCTTCCGCCTGTTCGGTTCCCCATCGCCCCGAGTGATCTCTGAGTGGGGGAAACACCCGGATAGATCTAAAGGGAGCTTTTCCCATACATGCTCCCTTTGGTGCTAGTAGGGAGTGGGTTGCTCCCATGCCAGTGGGACCATCCCAAAACAACAAGGATGCATGGTGGGACCGGTCCTTCCGAATCCTTTTTGAGAAACCATCCCCCCTGCATTCGACAGCACGCCTTCTCCTTCGTGCCCTTCATCATGGTGCGGAACTGCAAGTTCCAGGCGGGCGGCGGAGAGGAACGTCTAACCCCCCACAACTTGCGCCTGGGGGGGGTAAAGCCGGGTTAGCGTGGGGCGGGGGAAACTGCTGGATGTCGTCCCTGGGTGGAGGGAAGTGGCTAGCCATGGCGGTCAGCAAATGTGCAAAAAAGTGTCCTTCTGCGCGGAGCCGGCCGGAGCGCAGGGCCAAGACACGATTGGCTATAAGATGACACTTGCAAAATCAGGGGATTATTGCCAAACTTGAGCCAGCCCAAATGTGTGCTTGCGACGTATCGAAGTTGGCATTCGGTTTTCGGGCAAGCAGGATAGGATTAGTTTGGGCATAGTGTGCGCTTGCTCGTGGTTGCGCAACATGTTGTTTGGCAAGTGTGGGCTTTCGCCTCTCGCAAAAAACTCGACGTTGCCCAGCTATCCCGCCAGCTACCAGAAAGCGAACCAATCAAATCCGCAGCCTTCGATCAGAACTCGGTATTGCACGAACCCCCATCAATATTGGCGATCAACCACCCAAAAGCAATGCACGACTTTGTCCACCCCATTTCTGTGTGTGTTTGATGTTTGAACGCTCCCTCAAGCCATTTACGAGCTTGAGCTTCCCCAGTGTCTGTCCTTTCCAGTTTTTGCTTTTTGCCCCAATCAGCCAAAAGATGGGGGTCTCTGCAGCTTTCAGGGAAGGCTCCGGATGTTCCAAGAGGTGTCTGGCCTGTTTTGTGTTGCCATTTGCGTGTTTTTTTTGGGCTTCAGGGGAAGCAAAGGGAAGCCGCCGATTTGTCATTCTTCCGAGCGCTGCGAAATGGATTTCGCAACCATCCACAGTAGGGTTACTTCACCCTTGTTGGCAAATGTTTAGGTGTTATACACTCTGGTTCTGTTCATTTTTAGTAGGGGGTTGCAAACAACTGAAGGTTTTTTGCCATGACATGGGAGACACTACTTCCCCATCCGCCTACCTGCGAGGCCATCACCAGCAACGGCGTGGACCTCGCGCAGTTCCGCTGCTTCAAGGCAGTGGCAGTTGCCTTTCGGTTGCCGGCGAATCGTCCGGTTCCTTTGGGTGTTTAGGTTGCTTCACTGTTCTTGGCAGGTCAGTTTTGTTTTGTTTGGTTCAGCGAAAAGCTGCAAAAAACCCACAATTGTTTGCTGCCATACCAAGGATTGTGCATCGTGTTTTCGCTTGGCTTAGTGGAGGTTTCAGTTCAGCCCAGTGACGCTTGTTTGCGGGTCGGAGGAATGCCCTGGTTGGGGAAATAGGCCATAGGGTGTCGGACAAAAGCACGGACCTCCCCCCAAGAATTACAAGGGGAACAAGAGTCTCACTTCCTGAGTTGGTGGACTTTAAACTTTTTGGAAAGACAATTTTAGTGGTAAATAAACAGTTCGAACTGTTTTTGGCCAGTCAACTTGGGAAGTGAGGAATACCTTTGTGCTCGCCGTAAGTTACCATGGTTTTGTGGCGGAGTATGCTTGGTTTACTCGCAATTAGGGCCACCCCAGCTGGTGGTTGGAAGGGAGCGGTTCCGGAGATGGAGGTATCCAAGTTTGCCTTGAAGACGGAGCCTTTCAGAGCTACCAGCTGCAAGGACATGGTAGCCCGTGGTGGTTGGTATTTGAAGGGGGGCCCAGAATTTGGAGACCGTCCATTTGGGAACCTTATTTTGAGCAAAACACCCAGGTTTTTTTGGGCACCCCCTGATTTGGATTGGCAAGATGTAAGGGAGGCCATTGGCTGGGTGCCAGTTTCGATTGTGGCAAAAGGATGCTAAAGGGAGAACAAAAGGGCACCAGCTTTGGGTATAGAGTTGGTCTGAAGAGAAAGTCAGAGGAGACCATCCAGTCGAACAATGCCCGGTTTGGAGACACAACACGCGCACACACACACACACACTTGTTGCTCACTTGCCCAAGGCATTTTGACCTTTAAGTCTCCAAATGTTGGTCTATTTTGACCGTTTGGGTCAACCTGTTATTTCCAGGTCCCTTGAGCAAGTGAGTTTGGGTTACACTTGTTGTCGGCAGTTTTCTTTAAGGCCCAGAAGCTTTATGAACGCCCCAGTGAACTCACGCCAGCTTGGGGTGGCTTCCGGATGATGGAAAGTCGGATTGGTCCCTCGGTTGTTGGGGGTGGGACCAATCCTTTCAGCAGATTTAAGGCCACTTTATCTTCCGTTTGCTTAAGAATATTGTTTTTCCCTGATTGTTTTTCAAGGTATTCTATCACTAATTACTGGAAATATGTTTATTGTTTTTTTCTGCATGGGTCTTAACCAAATGGAAGTTATATGGCTGCGGCTCAAAAAATGTACCAAAATGGCACCTTGGCAAATGGAACCAAAGACTAGAACCTGTGTAACCCGAGCTCTTAAATTTTGAGCCACACCCATATAACCGCCTCCTTACAGGTGTGCAGCTGTTGAGGGGAGGACCAGGGTCTGGAGATTGAAGTGCACCCTGACTCTCCGCAGTTGGCCGCCGAGTTTTCAATCCAACCCCAGTCTTGGCAGCAGAGTCTTTGCTTTTTTGGAGGCCATCAGAACCCACTCATTGGTGGACAGAGGGTGCCCGCAACAAGCAAAGACGCACCCAAATGCAGCTTTCCTTGTTTTCCAAAGGCGAAAAGGGTGCCAACTCCAACCAAGTCACCCCCCTATATCCCCCCTTATGACCTCCAGTGTGCTTCCCATTTTCCCTTTGTCTTTGACCTGCAGTAATTGCACTTTTTTTGCTTTGCTTTGGAGGGGGGCTGCCAAGCCAACCCAACACCCAACGCGTGCTCGTTCTTTGGCAGGTCTCCATGTTCACCCACGGTGTGTGCCTCTACTTCGGGGCCTGGGCCTCGAATGAGCGACGGCTGGCCGCGGGGCTGGCGAAAAAAGAATCCGCCACTGCCGCACCAAGGGATTGAACTTGATGGTGGGATGGGCAGGGAATGAGTTAGAATGAAAGAAATGTATGGGGGTCCACTTAAAGGAAGCCTTAAGGGATGGTTTCTAAAAACTGATTCCCTCATTCCCGGCTGAGCACCGGCAATATAGGGCTCTTTGGGATGTATGTTGATTCGGTTTCTGAATGGTGCGGAATGGATTTCGATTTCAACCATCCACCGCATTGCAAGCAAACCAACCTCCCTCACTCAACCACAAAACCCTGGAACATGGCGCTAAAAAAGGGGGGAGGGTTCCGGGCTCATGTGCTTGCAATAGTTGGGCTTATTGTAGGGCCTGGGCTGCCAAAAAAAAAGCAGGATCTCTTAGAGCTTTGCAGGTGGTCTTCGGATGTGTCCCTTGAATCCATTTGCTTAAGAATATGTTTTATTTCCCCTTTTTGGTTTTCAAGGGTTTCGATTTCACTACTGCCCATACTTGCTCCTTTCTTTCCAGGGGGCGAAAAACGGATCTCCTGGCCCTTTGGACGGACTGGAGAAATGGACGACCACCCTCCCCGAGCCGACCCGCCGCCCCCTCTCTCTTTAAGTCTCTAGTGGAGGATTTGGAAAGGCCAATGCAGAAAAGGTACACCAACATGGTTGCAACTGGTTTTGACATATTCTCAAGTGCCAACAACCCACTCGTGGCACATATGTTTGTCAGCTTCTTTCTGTCACTTGGCCTTTTGCCAAAGAAAGGAGGAGGCAACAAAACGTGTTACAGTCTCCAAACCAAAGTAGCCAGAGACTACGATAAACTGGTATGTATGGTCGGCGTATCCTTAGGTGAGAGGCTCATTCAGCTACCCTAGAAAGCACGCCAGGGATTCCAACGCCACTCTTTGACTCTCGCGACCTCTCCCAAGCAGCCATTTCTTCCCTGCTGCGTTGGTTTTCCTTGTCTTTTTTCGCATCGAGTCCCCTGTTCGTTTCAGCAAGGGGCCCACGTACGTAAGACTTGCTTGGCGTCAACTCAAGTCAAGAAGGTGGGCCATTCCGAAAGTCTTAATATTAACCCGATATGAATCAACCCCAGTTTGTGAATAGGGGGGTGTTCCCCTCCAAAAGTGATGATCCCTCATTTCACCCAGAAACACCACCCTATTAATACACTGGGCTTATTCATCCAGGATCAACATTAAAGGGTGGAACCTTGGGTAGGGAAAGCAAAGAAAGGTTCCGGGAATTCCTCCAATTTTCGGAAACTGTTTGGTCACCCAGACCTTAGGTGCACGAGAAGGAGCATAGCCCTTCTGCAGAGGAGAAGCGAGCAGCTTGGGTGCGCCCACGGATGGTTTTTTTCCAGTGGGCTGCATGTCGATTGACTCAAGGGGAAGGCGCACGCAGATCAGAAAGCGAATGGTATTCCAAGACCTGAGAATGAGTTATCGTTCAAGCTTGTGACGCAGAGTAAGCACACCCAGGAAGAATGTTATAAATGGGGGTGTGTTTTTGGAACGTACCCTTTTGGGGTGGTTTGAAGGGAAACCAACAGGAAAACCCACTATCGTTTGCGCCCCCTGTTTTAAAGGCTTCAACATGAGTTTTCAGGTGCCACCTGTGCAGAACTTGTGGAGCATGCGCTCACCCCGCACGTGCCAGCCTGGCCGCTGCCCTTTCAGGTTTATCCGGCCGCTTGGGTTTTCTGCCGTTTTCGCGGGCTCTCACGGACCCGTCACAAGAGCCGGCAGGTGGCACAGCGCAGAGCACGGCAAGGCAAGTTCTGAGCAGCTCACGTCACGTTCGGCCCAGTTGCGCTTCGGGGCCTGACCCAGACGCCTTCGCCTTCGCCTGTGGCCATGAAGGACACGGGTGCATGTTTTGATCCAAATGACCAAACGGTGCCGAAAGTTGCAGGAACCCCAACATCTATTTCAATTGCCCAAACCAACCTTCTACCCTCTTAAACTTTAATGTTGACCCTGGATTAGTACATAAACCCCAGTTGATTAATAGGGGGATGTTTTTGGGTTTGGTGGGGATTCAGGGAGACCACGCCCACATTAATAAACGGGGGTCTGTTAATCCTGGGTCACCAGAACCCTCCCAACATGGAACCTCACCCTTCCTTCCCCCCCCCCCCCCTGAATCCCGGACTTTTTTTGGCAGGAACCCCGAAATTACTTCACCCAACATGAAACCTCTCAACGTCCTGGAAGCCCGTCTTCCGTCCAACAACGGGGAACCCAGAAAGACGCCCCGCGAAAACCGGCCGAAGGGGCCCGCTTGATCCCAGGAGGATGCGGTGGCGGAGATCTATGAGAGCCCGCAGAGCGCCACCCGGACTGGACCGATCTGGTCCCGTGGAAAACCCTGGTTTTTCCTTGGGCGTTCCACTTGGAGCAGGGCCCTCGGTTTGGATATGGAGTTGGAGCCCTGGTTACCCTGAAGTGGGAAACCAAGCAAGTTTCACTTACCTGCAAAAGCAGGTGGCCAAGCTTAGCTGGAGCTTTGGATTGGGGGCTTGGTGGGTTCTTTCCTCTTTTTTTTAACCTCAGGGCGGTGAGTCCAGAAATCAGTTGCGAAATCCGCAAAGGCACCACCGGTCAGAATCCCTAGAATGATTCAATGCCCGTAACCACCAGCAAATGCCCATGGCTCGAAGAGTGGTATCTTAGGTGGTGCGAAATAGATTAAAGCATGACCTCAACTACATCCAACAAGTTCCAACACAGTTTTCCCGCGTTTCCCCGTGGTTCTCCGTTTTTGGGTCGGGGGGCTGGCAGCCAGCGCTCGAAGGCTGGGCGATGGATCCGGCCGTCGCCGCGCTGAGGCCACCTTGGCGGTGACCATTCTGAGCCTCAGCTTCTCGGGGCTGTTCCTGGCGGGGGCCGTGGTGGCCAAGCCACTGGGATTGCGAGCGATGAACGGGGGCTGATGGACACTGAAGGGGTCCTGTTTTGCAACCTCGTTTATTTGGGGTATGGGTTTTGTAGGGTTCTTGGTTGCAAAGTAGACTCTAGGTGTCCATGATTGGAGGGGCTGTTTTGGTTCAACAGCTGTGAGCTTCGGTCAAGCTGTTTGTCATGGATGGATCCTAGGAGGGTCTTCTGAGAAGGGCCCACCACGGGCATCAACGGGTGGGCAAAAAATCAGTTTTTCGGGGTCCCCAGACTCTTGCCCGCGGTCCCGCATCGAAAGCATATGTTGTTCGAAACCTGCGTCGAACAGGTCCTGCTGGGAGTTCCTGGGGGTGCTGCTGTGGCCCAGCTGTTTGTTGTGGCTGAACCTCTGTGTGCTGGTGCCGCAGTGCAGCGTCCAGGTGCGCCGGATTTGCACCTCGGCCGGCCGAGTCGGATCAGATTTCTTGGTCGTGGCGCTCAGCGTGGTGATGGTGGCGATTTTGAGACGGGGTTGATGGAACCAGGCTTCGATTCGTGCCGGCACTCGGGTGATCTTTCCAAAGAGCTGCACTGGGGTGCTTGGCCACTTAAATACTTTGAGCCAAGCCGGGCTGGCGCGCATGGCTTTTGTTGGAATCTTGTTTTCTTGATGGTTCGCTTGTCTTTTGTTTCCGCTTCGGGACTTATTTTCTTGTCTCTTTATCTTTGGGAAATTCAGGCGTTGATTTGACAGGGTTCCGAATATTTCCCGCTTCTGGTTTGAAACATCACCTTTCGGGCGTTCAAGCGAGTTTCCTTTGGGGAGTGATGTTTAAAGTGGAAATATTGTTTGGAGTCCTGATTGAACCCCACTCTTTTGTTTCTTTGCAACTTGGGGTTTCATTTCTTGTCTGTCTTGTCTTTGGAACCTCAACCTTTGGCTTGAACCAGTTTCGTTAGTGATGCTGAAAGTGGACATTTTGGGGGGGAAGCCCTTGTCTGAACCCATGCCAAGTTCAAGTGAGTTTTCTTGGAGTGAAGTGAGTGGACGCGTTTGTTTTTTGGAGCCCTTCCACCCCAACCTTCCTTGGCTTGGACCAGTTGCCTTAGTGATGTTTAAAGTGGAAATGTAGGCGGATTGAACCCAGGTCAAGTTCAAGTGAGTTTTCTTTGAGTGATTTCAAGTGAGTGGAGTGATGAACAAGTCGACCTAGTTTTTGTGTTTTTTTGAGCCCTTCAACCCCAACCTTGTCTTTCTTATCTCTGGCAATTCAACCTTCGGTTTGAACCATGCTTGTTGGTGATGCTTGAAGTGGACCTACTGTGGATGGACGAAATCCATTTCACACCACCCAAGAAACGCTAGAATGATTCGATTCCCCTGTAAATACCAACCGGCAATGGTTTCAACCATGGTCTCAACGTGGTGCCTAAGAGGGATTTCGCAACCATCAGTATTTTGGAGCCCTTTTGAATCACCAACCCCAACCTTGTCTTTCATGTTTGTTTGTGATTCTTCAAGTGGACCCATTTGTTTTGGAGCCCTTTTGAATAACCGGCACGGGGACCTATTCTTTTTGGAGCCCTTTTTACAATAACCCCAGGCACCGCAACCTCTTTTTTTCTGGCGCCCTTTTTACAATTAACCCCAGGCACCGCAACCTCTTTTTTTGGAGCCCTTTCTACAATAACCCCAGGCACCGCAACCTCTTTTTTCTGGCGCCCTTTTTACAATTAACCCCAGGCACCGCAACCTCTTTTTTTGGAGCCCTTTCTACAATAACCCCAGGCACTGCAACCTCTTTTTTCTGGCGCCCTTTTTACAATTAACCCCAGGCACCACAACCTCTTTTTTTGGAGCCCTTTCTACAATAACCCCAGGCACCGCAACCTCTTTTTTCTGGCGCCCTTTTTACAATTAACCCCAGGCACCGCAACCTCTTTGTTTGGAGCCCTTTCTACAATTAACCCCAGGCACCGCAACCTCTTTTTTTGGAGCCCTTTCTACAATAACCCAGGCACCGCAACCTCTTTTTTCTGGCGCCCTTTTTATAACCCCAGGCACCGCAACCTCTTTTTTTGGACCTAACCCCAGGCACCGCAACCTTTTTTCTGGCGCCCTTTTTACAATTAACCCCAGGCACCGCAACCTCTTTTTTTGGAGCCCTTTTCTACAATAACCCCAGGCACCGCAACCTCTTTTTTCTGGCGCCCTTTTTACAATTAACCCCAGGCACCGCAACCTCTTTTTTTGGAGCCCTTTCTACAATAACCCCAGGCACCGCAACCTCTTTTTTCTGGCGCCCTTTTTACAATTAACCCCAGGCACCGCAACCTCTTTTTTGGAGCCCTTTTTACAATTAACCCCAGGCACCGCAACCTCTTTTTTCTGGCGCCCTTTTTACAATTAACCCCAGGCACCGCAACCTCTTTTTTTGGAGCCCTTTCTACAATAACCCCAGGCACCGCAACCTCTTTTTTCTGGCGCCCTTTTTACAATAACCCCAGGCACCGCAACCTCTTTTTTTGGAGCCCTTTCTACAATAACCCCAGGCACCGCAACCTCTTTTTTTTTTGGCGCCCTTTCTACAATAACCCCAGGCACCGCAACCTCTTTTTTCTGGAGCCCTTTCTACAATTAACCCCAGGCACCGCAACCTCTTTTTTTGGAGCCCTTTCTACAATAACCCAGGCACCGCAACCTCTTTTTTCTGGCGCCCTTTTTACAATTAACCCCAGGCACCGCAACCTCTTTTTTTGGAGCCTTTTCTACAATAACCCCAGGCACCGCAACCTCTTTTTTCTGGCGCCCTTTTTACAATTAACCCCAGGCACCGCAACCTCTTTTTTTGGAGCCCTTTCTACAATAACCCCAGGCACCGCAACCTCTTTTTTCTGGCGCCCTTTTTACAATTAACCCCAGGCACCGCAACCTCTTTGTTTGGAGCCCTTTCTACAATTAACCCCAGGCACCGCAACCTCTTTTTTTGGAGCCCTTTCTACAATAACCCAGGCACCGCAACCTCTTTTTTCTGGCGCCCTTTTTACAATTAACCCCAGGCACCGCAACCTCTTTTTTTGGAGCCTTTTCTACAATAACCCCAGGCACCGCAACCTCTTTTTTCTGGCGCCCTTTTTACAATTAACCCCAGGCACCGCAACCTCTTTTTTTGGAGCCCTTTTACAATAAACCCCATGCACGAAAACTCTTTTTTTGGAGCCCTTTCTACATTAACCCCAGGCACCGCAACTCTTTTTTTCGAGCCTTTCTACCAATAACCCCAGGCACCGCAATCCTCTTTTTTTGGAGCCCTTTCTACATTACCAGGCACCGCAACTCCTTTTTTTGGAGCCCTTTTTACAATTAACCCCAGGCACCGCAACTCTTTTTTTGGGCCCTTTCTACAAGAATCCAGGCACCGCAAACCTCTTTTTTTGGCGCCTTCTTCAATAAATC